GGCTCGGCCTTCTTGCGTTGTCTAGGGTGTATGGATTGAGACCTTCATCAAACGGCTCGGCCTTCTTGCGTTGTCTAGGGTGTATGGATTGAGACCTTCATCAAATGGCTCGGCCTTCTTGCGTTGTCTAGGGTGTATGGATTGAGACCTTCATCAAATGGCTCGGCCTTCTTGCGTTGTCTAGGGTGTATGGATTGAGACCTTCATCAAACGGCTCGGCCTTCTTGCGTTGTCTAGGGTGTATGGATTGAGACCTTCATCAAACGGCTCGGCCTTCTTGCGTTGTCTAGGGTGTATGGATCTCTCTCTCACATAAAACACAAGGTCCAGTGTAACAATACAATACTTTATTGGATACTTTATAAAACAGGATACTGCTATTAAATGACAATATACTATGGCGCGTGGAACACACATCAGTCCAAGTACCAACTATCCACTCTCCTAGCACAACTCTCTCTACTAACGTGTCACTCGCTCCTATCGCTACTAACTCTTGACTGACAACATTTGACGACTAACAATTCTTCTCTTGCTCTTCTACCTTTCTCCTCTGACCTCTAGCTAACACACATCCCTTTTATATTGCCACACAAACAACTCAGGCTACGCAAACGTTCCACACCACGGACTAACTTCTCGCCCTGACCTCACGATCAACAACTCACAAAACACTCTCACGATTCACGACTCCCCCTACCTAACATTCACAACAAACTAGTTCACAACATTGTGGTAAGATGGTAGGTTTGGTAAGATGGTACTGTGGTAGGATGGTAGGTGTAGTAAGATTATAAGTGGGGTAAGATGGAAGGTGTGGTAAGATGGTAGGTGTGGAAAGATGGTAGGTGTGGTAGGATGTTAGGTGTGGCAAAATGTTAGGTGTGGTAAGATGGTAGGTGTGGTAAGATGGTAGGTGTGGTAAATGTTAGGTGTGGTAAGATGGTAGGTGTGGCAAAATGTTAGATGTGGTAAGATGGTAGGTGTGGTAAAATGTTAGGTGTGGTAAGATGAGAGGTGTGGTAAGATGGTAGGTGTGGTAAGATGTTAGGTGTGGTAAGATGAGAGGTGTGGTAAGATGGTAGGTGTGGTAAAATGTTAGGTGTGGTAAGATGAGAGGTGTGGTAAGATGGTAGGTGTGGTAAGATGTTAGGTGTGGTAAGATGAGAGGTGTGGTAAGATGGTAGGTGTGGTAAAATGTTAGGTGTGGTAAGATGAGAGGTGTGGTAAGATGGTAGGTGTTGTAAAATGTTAGGTGTGGTAAGATGAGAGATGTGGTAAGATGGTAGGTGTGGTAAAATGTTAGGTGTGGTAAGATGAGAGGTGTGGTAAGATGAGAGGTGTGGTAAGATTAGAGGTGTGGTAAGATGGTAGGTGTGGTAAAATGTTAGGTGTGGTAAGATGAGAGGTGTGGTAAGATGGTAGGTGTGGTAAAATGTTAGGTGTGGTAAGATGAGAGATGTGGTAAGATGGTAGGTGTGGTAAAATGTTAGGTGTGGTAAGATGAGAGGTGTGGTAAGATGGTAGGTGTGGTAAGATGGTAGGCGTGTTAAGATGTAAGGTGTGGTAAGATGGTAGGTGTTGTAAGATTGTAGGTGTGGAAAGATGGTAGGAGTGGTAGGATGGATGGGACAACAATGAAAATAGTATTTTAATCGTTATGTGTGAAGTTTCAGCGTGTAAGAGTAAAAGAGTACTTACACATGTGTGTGTTTGTATTAGGGTGTGTACGTGTGTCTTAAGAATACGCTGGAGTGAGTAACGAACGATTACTTTAAAGTGATGCTTCCTGGTCTGTCATTCTTTTTTTATACACGAATTATTATTAAAGAATTGTGTCATAATTGGATAAGACAAATACATTTTTGCATCATTCACATCTGTTTTGTCCATTTATTAATTATGCTTACCTTTAAATAAATGTCAAGCTTTAACTTCGTTTTGGCTTGTTACGACATTTTGTTTCTATGAAGCATTATGCCACTTCGCGATATTTTATTTGTTTGAAAAGCTAATAGTCCTGCTTTAACAATATATATATATATATATTTATATTTATATAATATATTATATATGTATATTTATAATTATATATTTATATATTAACAATCAACATACTTTTAGCGGAAAATGTGGTTATTTAGTGTAGATAAATGAACTCAGATTTTAATTGTATCCTGGTTTTAACATTGTCAGATCTTACTATTTAAGCTAAGTGTTTTATGATATGACAAATGTAATGTGGAGTATTCAATGATAAATGTATCGTTGGGGATGCTTTGACAAACAAATGTGGGTAGAGAGCGACCGAAAGTGATTTTCTGATTTCGGCCGCAACCGAAACTAGGCCGAAATTTAAAAATGACTTTCGGCCGAAACCAAAATTAAACCGAAAGTTAACATTTCTGTTTTGACCGAAGCCGAAATAAAACCGAAATTTAACTTTTTGGTTTCGGCCGAGACCGAAGCCGAAACTAAAATATTAAGGGATTTTGAAATTCGGCCAAGCATATTCTACAAACATAAAAAAAATGATATGGGAAAGTATCAATATTTACATTATTTTTTTTTTAGAAAATGAGATAATCATGAATATTAATTAATAAACATTTAAT